ATAAGACTTTGGAGCTGATATCTAGGGATTTTTGGTGGCCTCAAATGTGGAAGGTAGTCAAAGATTTTGTACAATCATGTGATGTTTGCTCAAGATCAAAAATTCCTCATCATCGACCTTTTGGACTTCTTCAGCCATTACCCAATCCAGAACAACCATTGTCTTTTGTTTCTATGGACTTCATCACAGATCTTCCAATCTCAGGTTCTTATGATTCTATATTTGTGATAGTAGATCGTTTTACCAAGATGGCACATTTTGTACTATGTACAAAATCTATCACATGTGAAGAAACAGCTAAGCTCTTTCTTGACAATATCTATCGCTATCATGGATTACCCAAGGATATTATATGTGATTGCTCGTTTTACTTATTCTAAAAGTAACCTCCCAGAATAAACCCGTATAGGGGGATTCGAACACGGGGAATGACTAGTTGCTTAAGCGTTCACGTTAGGGTCACACAATCAATTACCTCTTGAATGTATCGTCTCTATTTTCAATATCTGAAGACACAAGGAAACTATAATCTCCTCCTTCACTTTATTGGTCTCTTCTTTACAGTAATTCAGTCATATCAATAACTGCTATTTCCACCAATATATTCACCCTCATAATTTCCAACTGTAATATTGCGCCTTCACAGCTTTCAGCACACAATTACCCTCGTTCCAATCTCTGGAATTCTTCACACAGAACTGCCATTCACATTACACTGTTTCACACAAACACAGATTCATTTTCTTTGCTGAACTACAATCACATTTCAGCATTCAATCTTTCTTTTTCTCAAATAATACCAATCACATTTCCATAATTCACTTCACAATATTCAGAAACTTTCAATCCTCTTATTCAAAGAAAATAACAAACAAAAGAAAAGAGGTAGTACCAAGCTTACCCCGGCTTGCAACTCTCACAGTTTGGCCCTCGGCTTACGACTCTCACAGTCTGGCATTTTCTTCCCCTCTCCCATCCTCCTTATACTACCCCGAGATACCAACTCCTATACTATAGATGATAACTACTTTTCTTGACTATTCATCCATTCTACCTGTTGAACCACCTTTTCAGCAGTTATCTATCCCTATTTACACTATACATTAGATATCTACATTCTGAAAATAATTACTTATTTTACATTATATCAGATAGGAGAACTCAATTTGTATCAAGATTTTGGCGGACTCTTTTCAAGATTCTAAAAGTCGATATAAAACTATCTTCGACATTCCATCCTCAAACTGATGGACAAGCAGAGCGTGTTAATCAAGTTTTGGAGCAATATTTAAGATGTACCATTAACTACCAACAAGATGATTAGACAACTCTCTTACCATTCGCAGAATTTGCTTATAATAACATGGTACATTCTTCTACAAAACAAACACCTTTCTTTGCTAATTATGATTATCATCCACGACTTGATACTTTTGACTTTTTAAAAGTTGATAATCCTGCTGCGAAAGATTTGGCGATTCATTTATCAGAGCTACATGCAACGATGAAGGCGTAGTTAAAAGAGGTTCAAAAAAATACAAAAGGTCAATGCAGATGTCTATCGAAAGAAACAACCACCATTCCTCTTGGGTGATAAGGTATGGCTACTTCATCATAATATCAAGACCACTCGTCCTTGTGACAAGTTGGACTATCGAAGACTAGGACCATTTTCTATTTCTGCACAAATCAATCCAATTGCATATCGTTTACATCTACCAGAGTCAATGAAAATCCATCTAGTATTCCATGTGTCTGTTCTTGAACCATACAAGACAGTGGACATACCAAGAAGATAATAAGCTCCACTTCCTCCTATAGAAGTAGACAATAATGAAGAGTTTCAAGTAGAAGAAGTCTTAGATTCAAGGCGGCACCAAAATAAATTAAAATATCTTGTCCATTGGCACAGATATGGTATTAGTGAACGCACATGGGAGCCAATAAAGAATCTTACAAATGCAGCAAAGGCGGTGGAGGCTTTTCATCGACGACATCCATCAAAATCAAGATGAAAACCTTCTTTATAAAAGAAACAACATCTAGACAAGATAACATTTAACTTTCAATCATTGTTTGTAGTTTCTTTGTAGTTGTGACGTTCAGGAGATGGAGAACCAACAACTAGTGGATTCGACTCAAGAGCCTTCATTTGCTGACCTATCGGATGAGACATTACGATTGTCACAATCTTCAAGATGACGTAATCGAGATGAAGATCTTCAAGAACAACATGTTCTTCCTCGAATAGATGGCGAGATACAATGCATTTGGTATCACGATTTGGGAAGGGACTCCCAATATTTGATGATTTTGCTAGAGGTAGGAACAACTCCTGATGGTATTCCAAATGTTCTATTCGAAGGAAGTTATGAAGGCCTCAACAATGATCAAATAAGTGGGTGGTCTTTCTGCCCTGGTATGGGACACTACCGATGGTTGAGAGGCCCTATCAATCATCTTTGAAGAGAACAAAGATCAGAATATGTGGCAAATACAATTCGTCGCATCATAGATTTCCTCAACATATGATGACCACTCTTCGTGGAACTCGTCCCTAGAAGGGGGGTAATGTCACAGACATACTCATGTAAGCTAGTAATTACGTATACAAATAGGTGGAAGTAAGTAAAAGTAGATAAAAGTAAGTTAATTCTATAGTATTTAATATAGAAGCTTCCTAGAAGCTTTATAGATGCTGCTTTGACTTCATAGGTGTCTTTAATTGATTTTTTGGATTAGAAACGTGGTCAACAAGTTGGCCATGTGCCACACATGTTGTTAGCTTGAAGATCAAGTTAATTATATGGCCCACACGTAGAAAAACTTACCTTGTAAGTCAAGGCATGTGTCCTACACAGTCAACACATATTGGAGGTCCTATACAACGTGACCACATAGTCCCTAGTTAGATAGTATATATAGAGACAAGAGTGAAGCCTTCTTCACTCTTGTCAACTCCTTTCTTGCTTCTAGTCTAGTTTCAAGGTTCTCTAGTTTTCTTGTCATTTGGCAATAGCCATTCTAGTTTCTCTTTCAATATACAACCTTATTTATATTTTGTTACCTTTCTTTGAGCGAAGGTTCACTTATCTGGATTATTTTTTCATCGAGTTCTTGTCCTTGACACCATGTTCAATTGTTCCCATGTTTGGCCAATGAAAAGGCTTTTTTGTCTCTATGTCTTATATTCAAGTTGTTTTATACAATAGATATTTGCATAGAGGGAGATAGAGAGCATAAACATAACATGATATTTCAAATTAAACTATTTAAGTAGGTTTTTATATTCAAAAACAATAATCTGATATAAGTATTAACAAAAATAAACTTTGTATTAATATATATATATATATATATATTATAAAAGAGTTTTTTTATTTTTAGAATTTATTGTAATAATATTTTTATAAATAATTGCATAATATTTGAAATTGTTGTAAAAATATATTTTTATATATATTTTTTTTTGTCTAATAATATTATAAAGATAATTTATCTTGATACTACAATAATAATCTTACTAATGTTGTTCTTATATGGAAGAATGTAAGCACTTAAAATATTATTAAATTAACTAGATTATAATATTTAAATTTAATAATATTTTATTACATTTATCACATCTATGATTGCAATTGATTAATTATAGTTTTAGATTTATAAAATTTTATTAGATTTTACTTTGAAATTCATTTTGTTGTGTAAGATTACAAATAAGTCATGGAATGTTAACAAATATAAAGATGTTCACAACTATAAAGATTATTAATTAAAATTGTTAGTATGCTTTTTAAAATTCCTAATAATATTTGTACATTTTTATTTTTAAATATAAAATTATTATGTATAATAAACAAACATAGTAGCAAATAAAACAACTTCTTTAATAGAAATAGACATATGAATTCATTGCTAATGTAATTCTAAAAAGGTATTTAAATAAATATTTCAATAAATTAAATGACTTATCTTTAAGCTTTAAAGTTAATTAATTATATTATTATAAATACTAAAAATATTATGACTTGATAAAAATATGATTATAAAAATTGAATTAATAATGGGTGTTTTGAAATCAAAATATAATTATGATGTATTGTAAATGTTTCTTATGGTGTTATTACATATATATATATATATATATATATATAATATTTCTATTGGCACCACAAATTTTGCTACTGCCACCTCAATCTGCCATCCATCACATGTATCTACAATCTTAATCATTGCATAATAAAATATTGTAGAATATTCTTTTATAAATATTTATTTATATTTGTATACTTTGATTATTGAAAAAAAAATTAGCATCATTATTTTTACAAAAGATTTATCTTTACAAATAAAAACATAACATCATGATACTACATTTTTGAATTAAAAAAATACGTCAATTTATTGGACACCATTCAAATGACCACAAAAGATGAATATAATTTATGATTTAAAATATATATATATGATGTAACTAGTTAGTTATCAACAAATTTGCATCGCGCTCGCAAATCCATGCGCAATTATTTTGTTATTTTTTTTGCTATTTATCTATTTAAATGTTGCTATGTAGTACACTCAAGAAAAAAATAGATTTAAAAAGGCCATCAAGACAAAAGAGCTACAAAAATGCATGTATTTCCAATAGTCTCAAGACATCTTACAAAGCACATAAAAAGAAAAAACCTCATACCACATCAGCAATAAACATGCCGAGCAGTTCAAACAGCACAATGTCATCAAACCTTCTCAAATTATTCATCTTACATCAAATCCACATACACCACAAACAAAAAACTTTTTCAAAAGCATAATATGACAAGTTGTGAAAAACAGTGAGAATAATGTTGGTCACCGAAAAGCTTGTAAAACGATACAACGACAAAAGATTAGCAATCAAAGATCATGTTTCTACGACGTAAGAAACCCCATAAGATACACAGAGAGTGAAAGCATAATACTTTGCCGCGCGGCGTGCCTCGTGAGCTTCTCATCTGCATCGACACCCCGAGCGTTGATCGCCACAAATTGCGCATGGATTTGCCAGCGCGATGCGAATTTGTGTGTTTGAGATGTTTGTGGCGCTGGGATGCAGCAAGCAGCGGTAACGGTGTTGCGAAGGTGGGAGAAATCGTCGTGCAGGTCTTGTTGGAGCCGTAAGTAAGTGAGTGTGTGTGTTAGTGTGGGCCCAGTTGGTGTGGACGGGATCCGAATGCAGGAAGGGCGCCTTTGCATCGATTTGCTATTACCGCACGGCTGACGCAATTGGGGAGCGCGTGCAACCTTCAACGACCTGGTATTTCGAATGTGGAGTGGCAGATGTGAGAGACGAGCTCGCTGTCCCTGGTTTGGAATCGCGTGCCAGGCTTGCGGTTCTTGCAAGAAAAGGGGCCGAATCTTTCCTGTCAAAGCACCGTCGTCGCGGTGTCGCTCCCCCTTTGCGACACCTCCTTGACGAGGACCAGGTCGGTCGTCTTCGTTGAGCCAACATCATCATCCACGGATTGGGTTTCATCCGGCCGTTCCTCAAGCCAAGAGGACTGGAGCCTACTTCCAGTTCGATTCCTCACGCCTGCTGTGCCGCTCTGGTTCTGGAGTTTTGTCACTGTGGGAGTGGTACCCATAAATTATTTCGCTCCGACTGTGCCTCAGGACGGGTATTTGACTTTAGGGTTTCTGTCATTCGAAGCACCGCTGTTACCGAAACGACCAATCGAATTCGTTGTTTGTGCTTTTATCATGTGGGTTTCGTTCCTCCGGCGTGCCTGGTGTTGAGGCACCGACGCACGCGAGGCCGTCCGGATCCCTTAGTGGGTACTGGTTTTTTCGTATTTCTTTTGGTGTGGAGTGGTAGCGGTGGTGATATTTCGAGCGCCATGTCAGACTTGGATCGCCAAATCGAGCAGCTGAAGCGCTGCGAACCTCTGAAGGAGTCTGAAGTGAAGGCGCTATGTCTCAAGGCTATGGAGATTTTGGTTGAGGAGAGCAATGTGCAGCGAGTGGACGCGCCTGTGACTGTACGTTTCTCTGGGGGTAGTTTTAGTTCCCTGTGAGTTTTTTTTTTTTTTTTTTTTTTTTTTTTTTTTTTGGTTTCAGGGTGGAGTGATGTCTCTGCAGATTTTTGCTTTTGGCAGGGCGAAATTGGTCTTCGTGATTTTTACCTGAACCCTCCCCTCACCTAAAAGTATAACCAGTATAATAAATAAAAAAGAATGCAGCTACTGTTTGGAGAGTTTGGGTTTGGACGGAAATGGAATCTTGTGAAGCTTCTGTAAGATATTTTTTTCTCGACGGGCCTATGTCGCTTCCTACTCTAATTCTTTGGGTATCCGAGTTTTCACGAAGTACTATCAACCTAAACCATAACCATAGTTTGTTATATAATTTATTCCGCAATTTTTGTTCTTATATAGCCGGAATTTGATAGGACATCAACTGCTGGGCTCTCTCTTTCTCAGTGTTTGTGTTGTACAACATCTGTCGTGGAATTTCTTGAAGGGTTCGTTCAAGTGATTGTGCGGCACATTTTTTGCACTGTAGCGAGCGTTGGAGCGATTGTGAATCTGAGAAGTACTCATCACACAGCTAGTGTACTGCTAATTTCGCATAATGGTTCTCACAGATTGTTGTGTTGATACATCATATTTGTGTAGTTTGCATGGCCATTCTGTCTTGACTTTCATCTGAACCGTCTTTGTGTTATGGTTCCACATCGTGTGTGCTTACAGTGATTCCATCTCATGCACCTCTCTTCATCCAGACGAGCTCATTCGTTACTGGATTACCTGTTTTGTATGTATTTGTTCGAAATAGTAGCAAGCTCCTGCGGATCAGAATTAGGGTGTCAATTACATGCAGGGAATGCGTGTAATTATTGGGAATAAGCTTTGTTCCTTTTCTGAACGTGTAATCGACACTAAAGTTGTGCATCTGAACACCTTTGACATCACAGATTTGCGGTGACATTCATGGCCAGTTTTATGATTTGAAAGAGCTCTTCAAAGTAGGAGGAGATTGTCCCAAGACAAATTATTTGTTTCTGGGGGACTTTGTTGACAGAGGATTTTATTCAGTTGAGACTTTCTTGTTATTGCTTGCTCTTAAGGTACGGCATTCCCTTTGTCTCATTTCTTTGTATTATTTTAACTGCCATTGAATCATCCTGCTCCTGGGACTTGGTTTGTGGGTTTCAATGCCACGGCAACTTCAATCATAATCAATCTCGAATTACTTTTCTCGTGTATTTTTCCTGAGATGGATTCTCTTGCAGACCTTGGACTTTGTAAATTGGATAGTTGCCAACAGGTTTGCTGGTGCTTGAGGAATGGTTTATTCTTTGTCTTGTCTGCTTGTTATTGAACTTTTGTGTAGGTGAGGTATCCCGATCGTATAACTTTGATTCGAGGGAATCACGAAAGTCGTCAGATTACTCAGGCGAGTCTATTGGCTTTGTTCAGTGCTTGGACTGATTTTCTTCGTATGACTAGCTTTTACGTTTGCATCCTTCGCTTACTGTGTGTTTTGCTATTTTAGAGTTGGAATTGAGAGGGGTATGTGTGTTGGCAATCACTTGATCATATTTTGGAAACATTTTGCAAACTTCATTACTTTTCATCCCATAACGTCCGTTTCCGTTACATGTGGATTTTGATGTTTACAGGTGTATGGTTTTTACGATGAGTGCCTGAGGAAATATGGTTCTATAAATGTCTGGCGATATTGCACGGACATATTTGACTATTTGAGGTTCGTAACGCTCCTTAGGTTGTGTTGCAGAAGCAATAACGCCTGAAGTTTGAAGAATATCACCAAAATCTCCCCTCAATGTGTATCTCGTCATGCTGGTCTTTCCAAATCTTTATGTATGGAAAAAGATTTGTGTAGACTTATCCTTCTTAGTTTCTCGTTGTCGTAATTATGTCTAATTGTTGTTGCGTAATACTTTCGTTCTCTGCAGTCTCTCAGCACTCATCGACAATCGAATCTTTTGCGTTCATGGTGGATTGTCTCCTTCCATTACGACCGTTGATCAGGTGGGTTTGCCGTTTTAGCCTTCTGATTCATACCTTGCTTTTGATGCTGTAGTTAACCTTTTCTTGTGTCCTCTTTAGCGGTTTTGGGTTTGAAGAGTATGTTTTCTCCCGCAATCAGTAATTTTTGGAGATTTCTGGTGCTTGCTGACCTCAGGAAGCACATCCAAGAGAGGAGATGAGGTTATTTTAAGTTCTATGCTCGCCAAGTGTGTTGATGGTATTCCTCTATTGCTTGTGAAAACGGTATTGTAATGGTTGCTGATTGATTTGGTGGTTTGCAGATTCGAACTATTGATCGAAAGCAAGAGGTACCTCATGACGGTGCAATGTGTGATCTATTGTGGTCAGATCCCGAAGAGATAGAAGGTTGGGGACTTAGCCCACGGGGTGCTGGTTATTTATTTGGCGGAAACGTAGCTACTACATTTAATCACACGAATAAAATTGATAATATCTGTCGAGCGCATCAATTGGTCATGGAGGGATACAAATGGATGTTCAACAACCAGGTTGTCACAGTATGGTCAGCTCCAAACTACTGCTACAGGTAATTTTACAGCGAGCTCCTCAGGTCAATCAGTTACTACTAGTTCAGTTTTAGTTTTTTTCAGGTTCAAGACTGACGGACATCATGTGTAATATTTTGGGGCAGATGTGGTAACGTTGCAGCAATCCTAGAGTTGGATGAGAATCTGAACAGAAAATTCACTGTGTTTGAAGCGGCTCCCCCTGTAAGCCCTTATCTGTTCTAGTGCAAGGATGTTGTATAGATTCTTTCAAAATTGCCGCTATAGTCCGTTGTAATATGTATCTCACTTCAAAGCCATTATTCCAGGTCTTCTTGCGCTAAATTATGGTAGTTTTGTACACGAGTGTTGCTTGATTGTTTGTACACCTTTTCATTAATTTATTCGCCTTCTGTGAACAGATTTTTGTCTGTCCATCGCTTAACGTATGCAGATGTATCTGTGCGTAGGAAATGTCTTTATTTAGCTTTATATGCGCTTGGAATATAATCTGACAAGTCTTTGACCCTACAGGAAGCCAGAGGGGTACCATCAAAGAAGCCTGTGCCGGATTATTTTTTATAAAGCTTCTCGGAACCCGATGCTTGTAAGATTTAAACGATGTTACAATTATCTACTTGACAGTTTTCTCGACGTTGTAAACTGGTTTCTGGAAGATTATAGACATACTACAAGGGTTGTAGTCAAGAGAGTTGTGGTATAAGCACGTACTTATACTGACCACTGTGCGCAGTACTCATGTACTTCCCAGCCTCCCTACAGGTCGAAGCTATTTGCTCCAGAAATTAGAACAGTTCGTTCGTACGATATTTATAGCATACAGGAGAGGGGATACAGTGGCTACTTTTATGAACATATTGCTCTAGTTTGAGCTTCAGGGAGATACGAGGTTTCTTGCTATTAAATCGTGATTAGTATACTTCCATTTGGAGCTTCAAATCCTTGTACTTTGGGTTGTAAACTTCTGGCTGGAAAAAGGATCAGCTTTTTTCAGCAATCATGAATATTAATGGTTATGATAGGAATTTTTAGGCATATCTTGTGTATATTTTTAAACGCTTAATGACATAGAAGCACATCACCAAGCGTCTAAATAGAACAGTTCCACTCAATAGAGTCACTCGGGTATGTCTAATAAGGCATTGACTTATTCAGATCACCTTTTTCAAGTACCTGACTAACGTACACAGAAATGGCAATTTCCTTAATTGTACTAGAGCTAGTACGAGCCCTAATCAGGTTTGAACTTGTGTATGTACATAGAGATGTAGCCAATGCTCTCACTTATGGTCAATTTTTGCAAATGTGGCAAAAATTGCATTTGCAGTGATATGTATCACACCCAATTTTGATCTACCACTGTAAGGTTTCATTCTTGCCATTAACATTAGTCAATGTAAAAGGTTAGTGCTAATGAAATTCTTTGTTACACTTCACAGTACACGTGTCTTGGCAAGCCCACAATTTATAATTTGAGAACCTACTTGTATTTGTGGCATTTATCTCATCTAATGGACAAACAATATTTAATTATTCTTTTTGTTATTGATCATTTTTCAATAAAACTAATTAATGTCTTACTTCTACCATTACTTGATTTTTTTCGTATTACTAAGTTGATATATCCATTGCTTTATAACCTACCAATTTTTGTAATATAATTCTTCTATGCCTTCTTTTTGTAGCATTATCATGTAAACATTGACATAAGGCACAAATATTGATTTGGTATCATTCTTATTTCATTTTTTTTTTTTTTTTTTTAGTACCAAGGAAATCAAGTATCATATAACAACTCTCTTTTCAACATTTCTTTTAAGCTTTTTGGTTTTTTGAAGTAGTCTCAATAAATCTCAATGGTAATTCTCTAAAATATCTTTCTTTTTATTAGCCTTTTAGAAGTGTTTTTCTATTAGGTATAAAACAACAATGAATATTAGCTTCAATATTTTTTTCTAAATGAAAAAAACAAGAAAAAATATATTTTAAAATATAAATCATTAGCAATTATAAAAATAGTTTGAAGCATTTTTTGCAATTATATATTAAACTAGTAATTTTAGTAAAACAAAAGGCAGTGTAATCAAAAGTCTTTAGGCTATGTTAACAAAAGGTTTAACAAAAAAAATATGCACTTGTAAAGCAGAAACTATAATGCTTAAGTTAGTACAAATTCAAAAATTTAAGAAAAAACATTGATCCTTAAATCTAAACCTTTAAGGTTTGATATGCCTTTAAGGATATTTCAATGCTTAAGTTACACTTGTAAGAAAGGTATTCTAATTCTTAAATTATACTTGCAAATTAAGTTAGTAGGGATTCAAGAATTATAAAAGAAACTTCTATGTGAAGAACTGTACTTAGAAGAAAGAAAATTTGATATTAAGTCCTATATTTAAACTAATACTTGCAAGGCATAAATTCTAATGCTTGATTCAATAAAGAATATTACAAAGCATATTTTATTTTACCATCAAAAATTAATTTTTACAAAGAAATCTACAATAAAGGCAAACATATGTAGAAGACTAGAGGAGTTCAATTATGATGTCTATTGCTAATTACTAATAAATGTAAGAGCTCTAACTTGTAAGTTTTGCAAAATATGTAATGTGTATGTATTATAGTTTGATATGCCTTCAATTAAAATTGACAATGAGGGCAAGCAACTTGCTAAACTATCAAGCAAATAGTCTATTGAAAAGTATCAATGTTGTAATACATTTGCAAGAATATTACTACAATTAACTCCAAATGTATTGTAAGGTGGTTCAGTAACTTGTTCTTCATGTACACTAGTGTGCTAAAAGTTTGCTTGTCTTCTACTAAATCCATAACTTGCACACAAGCTATCTCCACCAACTTAATAAATTCAGAGAAGTTGAAGGATAGAATGGCATTAACAAAAAATGTTTGTTAAAGTACAATGAATATATAAATCAACATAGATCAAGCTATGGCTTCTTGTGCATAAGAATCATTGTCACCATAAACATAAGGGCCTCATAATTCAATCAAGTAATAGAAATTATAGAATCAGCAAACAATTGAAAAACTAAACTAGTAGCAATCACTTGATTGCCATTTAAAAAGTCTTGCTCAATAATGTCCAAATGTATCTAAAAAAATGAAAACTAGAGTAAATATCTAAAAAGTGAAGCTATTATTGGGAGTAGAAGATGCCTATTGCATCTATTAGTTAGTTTGTTAAGAATTGCAAAGCAAACTCTACAAATAAGTTCATTGTTTTTGTTGTAAGATCATGACAAAACATGTTAAAATCATGAACACAAATTCATAACATAGAAATTAAATAATCACAAGTACATAAATACAAAAATAAACTTTGAGGTGCATATTTGAACTTATATTTGCAAGCATGTTTGACATGTTCAATTAGATTAGATCAAAAAAAAAATTTGAGATGTATTCAAACCTCTCTATGTTTGATTTTCTATACTATGCTCAAATAAGAATGCCTATATATTTAAATATAAGATTTTTGTCTAATATATCACTATTTAAGTCTGGTTTCTATGCCATCTTGATATGCGAATGTAACAAAGAAATAAAAGCTTAAAAAATATAAAATATATTAAATTAAAATATTGATTATTGAATTGTATTAATTAATAAAGATTTCTATTTGATCTATTTAAAGAAAAACAAAAGATCACAAAAAAATATATTTATGGCTTTGACAAAACTTGATGAGTTAATTCAATTACTTGAGTAAAGACAATAGTCTTGTTAGCTCCAACATTGTCTCTACATATACCAAACATATTTTTTTTATTCATTGTAGCAATTTACAAAGCTATTGAATCTAAGTATAACTTTTACAAAAAGACAAAGTATTGAGAGAATATACACTTTGTTAGCTTTAGAATTAAAACCCACCTTGTTTTCACTTGCAAAAGTGTTTTACTACTTTCATATTTATTAAGGTATGGAACTTGGTGAATTGAACATGTTGCTTTGGGTGAGTATAAGAAGAATCTATACATTTCCAACAAGAGGCCTTTTACATTGCATATGATTGCATCTTTGAAAGAGTTTATGAGGCAAGATCAATTTGATAAAGTATATAATGTATTCTATACATCAACAATGCATGGCTATACTAAGTGCATAATATAACCACTATTGCTTAATGTAAATGTAGATACAAATCTAACTTGTATTATCAACTTTTGTTACATGCCACATAAAAAATACCACAAATCAACAATCAAAGATGCAGCAACAACATGTTTTAATTATTATAATTTTTTTGTAAAAATAAAAAATAAAAAACAAAATAAAAATAAAAAAACAAAAAATCTAAACATATTAAAAATTAGGTGTCAAAAAATACTTCATTGTATGTAATGCAAATATAGTTGATATTCTTAATGACTTCTATTATATTTTGGTTGATTTAGATGTATATAACTTCTGTCATCTTCTAATCAACATCATTACTCTAATATTTCTTCAATATTTACAGTACCTTCAAAAATTTCAATACGTGGTTCAAGTTTTCATATTTCAACATTGAACAACCAACTTGCAAGTCATAGAAGATGAATGAAAATTTATCATACTGCTTTGAATGTTTTTTAAACTTTTTTTGAGTTAGTTCAACCATAATCTACGGCTATTACTATGCACATGGCATTATATTCTTTGCATAGACACAATCCTTTGAATACTACCAATTGCTGTTCTTTACTATATCTTTGATGTCTTTGAGTGCTTTATAACATTTGGAATGTTTTGTAAGAATGTTATACTTTACTTTCATTAACTTGTTCTTACTTTTCATCACACTGCAAATCAAATACTTTACAAGTTTAATTGTACCATTTGAAGCTCATGATAATTTTGGCCAAATTGATTTAGTTGCCTATATTTCTTGAAATTGGCTTAATATCTCATAATGTTTGCATTCTAAGGCATGATTTGATAAGATAGTCTTTGATTAAAGTTCATTGTTATCACTCAACACAAACATTATTTCTTTATCTAAAAAATTGATGAATTTATTTCTATCTTCATTAATGATGCATTTATAAGTACCACTATTTTTTTTGCTTGAAATTTGAGAAATCTCTTTTTTATGTTTTTTTTTCTTTATATATATATATATATATATATATATTTTCATTGATATAGATTTAATCTTTAGATAGACATGTGATTGAATGTAAAAAGACATCCTTATATGCCAATTTTGGCAATTGTGGCTTTCTATATTTTTTTTATAGAAACATAAGTTGATGTCTTATAGTAGTAAGTTTTTCAAGGTCTTGTCATTCTTTGCTTTATTTAGAAACAAGGTGTATGGTTGTTTGCATTCAAGTGTAGTAAATAAGGTTGTTTTTTTTTTTTTTTTTTTTTTTATTGCTTAAGTTAAAACATGTTAAAAGTGACCACAATTAATCTCTAGTACAACTATTTTAATAAGGTGCAACCATTACTTTTAGAATCTTTAGAGACTCTAATGACATTGTAAGTATTAGAATCTTTTGTGTTTAGAGATCTACAAGGTTTGGCCACCTTTTAAAATCTAAATTTTGACTATTGCTCCATGGTCTGTTGCCTACATCTTGTGTAGCCATTGCTCTTTAATAACTTGATACATAATTAAAATCTATAAGTCATTTGGCAAAAAAAATCCTAAATCTATTGTATCAACTCAAAATCCTCAACCTTCAATCTTTAATTTTTAATTTTTTGACAAAACTACATTAAAAAGAAAAATTTATAAGTTTCAAATTAGAATGCAAAAACTAGAGAAATTATAAATATTAGAGTGCAAAGTTACTAATTTGTATTCCATTACTATTGCAAGAAAAATTCTTGAGAATAAGTGGTGTAATTTTAGAATAGTATACAAATAAATATAAGAATTATAAGGCATAATTCTAATATATTACAAATTTTGATGAAGCTATGATTGAATTTAAGATTTTTTACATCAATGTAACTTTTTACAAGCAAATGAATAACTTGAATATTCTTCTACTTTGTGAAAGCAATATTAAATTGAA